AGGTAGTGGAAACGGTAGGCTAAAATTAATTAATTCGTTATGAATTAATTATTTAACACCAACCATCGCTCCCCTCCCCAAAAACATTGCATTCTGACACGAATGACCCTTGTTATCTATGCTTTTTTTCGACGCCATTGTTGTTATGAATAATTCCGTGGAGCGTCGAGTGGTCACGTGACAAAAGGCGCATACAATTGAATTCTTTTTTATTGATAGGCGCGCATTTCTTTGCGCAGCTCCTCACCATTTTAGGCGCGTGATGGCGTGCACGCGCAATTGCGCACCTTAAAGGACAAGCCCTGTTTTCCAACATGATTACTAGACGATTACTACCTTAAAATATGAAAAGTACAGAAAGAAAAGAATTCCAAAGACTCAAGAGAAACAACCTCCAAGCCCACAGGCAGGTGAACGCTCACCGTGATATCCTCCAGCGAGGAGTCGATGATCTCGTAGTTGTCGGGCAGGCAGTAGAACTTCAGTGTGTGAAGGTTCAGGAAGACGTGGTGGGCAAACTGCACACTGTGTGTGTAAGCATGCGACTTCAGCCCTCGACCTGGAAGATAAACTCATACGTTAACTGGGGGCTCACCTTCCATCTAGGAAGGACCAATAAAGGAACCTGGGATGAGCCAACAATAGAACAAACAGCCGCCATACGCATAGGTATTCTTGAGCGTTCAGACGATAATCACACAGAGAAACTTCAATGGTGGTAGAAATTGAACACCTGTTCTGTCCATAAGAATACTATCCTCTCACTCAGTGGCTGTTAGATTGTCTATCCAGAAGCTGCACACACACCTTGGAAGTACTTCCCGCAGATCAGGCAGGCATAGACGTTGATGTGTGAGAGGGAGATGGAGCATAGCTTCTCAAAGTCGAAATCCAGCACACTCCTGTTAGGATGCAATGAACATCACAAGGAAAGGATGACATCCAATTCATCATCCTCTTCCGGAAATAAAATCATCTAACATTTGAGTAGCGGTTAAACCATAATTAAAATGATAAATCAGATATTAATATAATTTTAGATACTAATACCATAAGATATTCATACGAAATGGGTCTCAATACTCCAAATCTTCCAGTGCTGAATGCCAATGTGCAATTTTTATTGCACATTGGCAAATGAAGCAGCCCCAGAACTGGATGCGCGTGTGTAAATAGTAAATTAGTAAACGACGGGGGGGGGAGAATACATAGAATACATAAGTCTATACCACAGAGCAAACTGTCAGTAAATTCCATTTACTGACAAATCCAAATACAGCACCATATTTTACTGAATCAATTGAAGTTGACCATCTTACTCAAAAGTACAACGAGACCGCAGGATTTTAACTTATACACACTGTTAAACAGTTTACCTGCTATACCCCTCGTCAGTATAAACTTCCCTTTACGGCCTCGAAAAACCTACCTATTTATTGTGTCCAAGTAAGGGCAATGGCGGCTTCTGTGGTCGTCTTCATTCTGGGATCGACCTATTTTCTTCGGCACTTAGGGGGGAAAAAAGACAAACGAGATAAGCACACGTATGTATATTAGACTTCCTAGTAGAAGAGCCTGTCTCACTTGGACTTATCTTAAAGTTTGTTTTGTGGATTAAATACGTGGTATGGCCGTACACAAATTCGTTTGCCATTTAGCTAGGAACATGCACAATAAATAACTGCTGCGAATAGCAAACCGACTAATCGTACGTATATTATTTAGCAAACTTAGCTAGGTTAGCCGATTTGCAGAACGTGCAGTGAATGCCTGTCAGGCAAACCTACCCTCATCCTCCTCTTCTACGTCAATTTGCCTCTCACGTTTTACCGACACCATACTGCCAGATGAGATATTACTGCTTTTATAAATATTTAAAGATAATGGAGTTTAATTAATAATATTGTTAAATATTTAAGCTTTTCACTCCAAGCTCTGAATCTCCCGGTTTCAATTCAACAACATACGCTAAGGCCAACCAAACACTAACCCGAAGTTGTGAAACGAAGTCTCGCGATATTAAAAATTGTGAAAGTGACGTAAAATCTTACTATGACACTGCGTCAAATACTGAACTCTGACAAATGTGAACATAACATATCAATATAAATACAAATAGCTTGACTTATAAACGGGTAATCCCTGTGTAATATTTCCTTCAGATATTCCTGCTTCCTTCTAAGAACATTTGGTGAGGCATTTCTAAATCCTCTGATGGACTGGCATCCTGTCTAGAATGTACCCCAACCGTGTAGCCTGTGCAGTCAGGGACAGGCTCCAGCCGTGATTGGATGGATGTTATAGTTGCAATACATTACTTGTAGCTAGAACTACAGGTAACAACAATTTTCAACAATTGTAAAGCTCTGTTTAGGTCCAATCTAGTGTAATGCAATTCAAACTAAATTAGCAGATTCTAACATTGGATTGCTCGCTAAGTAGACCGGACCACAGCATGGCAGTTCATTATTTTATATCTTTAAAAACAAATATACAAGCTTAGTAACCCCGGGAGTAAATCGAGTTGGCCAACAGTCTACTTTCCGTGGCTTGCCTAACGATGCAGCTCGATGGGATGATGGGCTTTTAATTGCGGGAGTTTTTATATTCCTTCAAGAAAGAACAGTTCCAAGCACACCACGATGGAGGTCTTACGAAAAGAAGAGGAGCAACAACTGAAATATAAACCCGGGGGTCGTTTGGACATGAACCACGGTTTCCTACACCATATTCGTAGGAACCAGATTGCCAGGTGGGTCATAAATTTGCTACAAGACACATGACATCAGTTGTATTAAGCGCGGAGACATTTCAGTATTAGTGTCTTAAATGACAAAACTACAGTAGTCGTGAAATCTCGCCTACTCGCCCCAACCCCTACTGTGCATGCGCAAAAATTGTCTAAATACTGCGAGTTTGAGGTTGTCGATGTTCACAATGCTGAGAAAGGAAATAAAGTTCATTTATGATAGTGTGCTCTTATGTTTTGATGGTAGACTCAGAAGTAGCATATGCGGCCAGATTAGTGTTCCGACCTAATTCATACATGCATTTAGTGCCCTAGGGTGTTTGTGTGTCGTTTTAGAGACGACTATGACAAGGAGGTGAAGCAGGCCAAGGAAAAACAGAGGCGTAGACCCACGACGACCCCCAGGCGCCCACGCCGGCCTGACATCCAGGTGTACCATCCCCGGCGCAGGAGTAAGAAAAACCGACACGAAAGTGAAAGTAACGGGGGTGGATGGTGAAGGACCCAGCGCCGGTCCCCACCCCCTGCTGAGGGTGTCCGGTCCTTGGGGCGGGGATACGACGTATAAACGGCATTGCAGGTTGTGAACCAGGCTTTCGGTGCGGATGAAATAACATCCGTAAAGATATCAGACGTGACAAAGAGACGGCCTTCTCAGTCTTTTATAATACGGCAAAACCCTGAAGGTCACGTCTGACAACGTAATAATGTAGGCCTATACCGACAATGTTCTCATCTAAAGTGATTTTAGCATGTATACTAGTCCATGTTTACTCTACATACTACATATACTGAGCGTGTATACTAGTGCATATATGGTGAATAGTGTATATGTATAACACACCAGCTGTACAGATACAGTCCAGGTTTTGTTAGTTCATACTATAGTGTTTTGTACACTGCAAATTGAGGTCTAACAAAATTGCATATTGAAATATTTACTGAAGACTGATCTCATCTAGAATCCAGCAGTAATTAAAAGTTTATTTTAGACACTTTATTGATCTCTATGGGGAAAATCTCTTTTTGCCTACTCTGTCTTGCTTTCCATGAAACATATGTGTAATAACTAAGGAGGGAATAGTTTGGCAGCAAAGGGCAACTACCTTCAGCAGCACCCATGGAGCTGGGGGTTAAGGGTCTTGCTCAAGACCCCACAGACGTGACTGTTCTGCTGAGGCTGGGCTTGAACCAGCAGCCATCTGATCACAGGCACAGGGACTTAGCCAGCGGAGCCACACGCTCCCCCTTATCATCGTAGCAACTGCTGCCTTTGTATTAACCTGTGAACGTCATTCATTTATTTACCAAACCAAAATATGGATGTTATACTGCTTGTTCAATCTTGACTCTTTCTCTGGCTGTTCCCCACTGCTGACAAGCTCATTATGGAAAGCTAAGGCTGAATCGGATCAATTAGCGGTCAGTGGCGTGCAGAGGAGCTCAGGCAGGACTAAGGGATAGGAGGGGCAAAATGGCATGTTTTTTGTGTCCGGTGGTTTTAGATGGATCAGAACCCAGCACCAGTGCTGACACAGAGGAGTGGAACGAAAGCGGCTCGAGCACAGAGGCCGAAAGCCAGAGCACAGAGTTATTCTGGCTTGACTACCAGGCAGACTGTGGCCGCCTCACCTCCTTCATAGTGCACAAGGTAAGACCAATCAAGGCAGCCCATGGGGGGAGGAGCTCAGCATGCGCATTGGCTGGCCTTGTTTCATTGACAAGCGTGACGATCACCCACAAACAAATCATGTTGTCAGTGTGGATCACATGACTTGTGCTTGGGATGAGCTTTGTACATAAAGGATGGTTTGATTTATTGGGGTGTTAGAATGTTCTGTTTGTTCGAGTTTGCAGCTCAGGGGGCTGTATCATGTAGCAAGATTTGTTGGTTAGCTTGGCAACTTAAGATTTAAGGTAAAGTCAGTTTAAACAGACTTCATCTTGGTTCACTTACATTTAGCCCAGACTGCTTAAATCTGACAAATTAATCCGGCTAAACAAGAAATCCTGCTTTGTGATACAGGCTCCAAATCCTTGACAGAAACTCTCCTATATGCTAATTTTATTTTAACTGGCACCTGAGAGGCGAAATGCCTTTGGTAAAGTGATGAAGAGTTTAAATCTGGATCACCATACCTTGCAACATTTGAGGGTTGGAGCTGTGAGAACATAAGAACATAAGAACATAAGAAATTTACAAACGAGAGGAGGCCATTCGGCCCATCAAGCTCGTTTGGGGAGAACTTAACTAATAGCTCAGAGTTGTTAAAA